TCCTAGATTAACCAAATGCACATTGCTGCATCTGCTTTTTGAATTTGAATGCCTCACGTTGGTTTATGGTTTTTAATTGCAAAACGGCATTGTTTTAATTAATTGTTTCCAGGGGAGACGATTTTTTTTATTCATGTAATCTTTTCCTTTATTATTATATTTCCGTCACCTGAGTGTTAGTCTAGCTATGCTGTAGGTCATGTATTAAGTACTGCACGTTTCGTACTTTTCGTGGCAGCATTTAGGTAAGTACAGCTTTTCTTATGTTCAGATTTTTCTCTGATCTGCTAGTGCTCCGTACATTTGAATTTTCAGTATGTAGACAATTGGAGTGTTTATTTCCAGTTTTTATGTTCTATGTAATGCCTCTTTTGTATTAAGTCTTATATAATTAAAGTTGTAGTTAAAGTAAAAATATATCAATTATAAAGGTATATTTATCTGGGGAATTCAGGCAGTTGTGGAATTTGTTCTCTGTGTGTTTTTGAGGGGTGCCTATGTGGGTTTCTCCTCTTACCTGGTGCTGCTGTGTTCTAGTTGTGTATTTTGTTGGTGTATGGGTATGAGATGTTTTGTTTCCTCCATTTTTCTGTGTCTTTTTGTTCTTGTGCTTTGATCTGAAATACTTTTGTTATTGTTGTTTACCTGTATGTTGTACAGGGGGAATCCATGCATTTAGATATGTTGTATGATAGGCAACTTTCTCTTCTATGTATTGTAATGTTGAGCAAATTAATTTTGTTGTTCTGTTCCTTTTGCATGGTGAATTGTAAGTTTGGTTTAATGTCGTTTGCCTTATGTGGGTGTTGTCCTCTATAAATTGTGAATATATTGCAGAGGATAATGCTGTCATTGGTGAGCCCTTCTTCTTGTTTGTAGCAGTTGTTATTAAATTGGAATGAGCATTGTGATAGAATGGTGTCTGTTATGTTCTCTCTTTCTCTGGTTGTGTTTTGTTGTGTGTTGTGATGGTTTAGAATGGTCTGTTTTATGGTGGTGACTTCCCTTGTTGGTACGTATTTTTATAATTCTTCGTCAGTGGTATATGCTCAAACTGTGATGAACTTGTTTGTAGCATTA